ATATATATATATATATATATATATATATATATATATATATATATATATATATATATATATATATATATATATATATATATATATATATACATAATAAATATAGGTTATCATTTTACAACTTGATTAAGCAGGTATCTGGTTACATGTCTACATTTGGAAAACAAGTCAGAGCGTTTGTTCAGGCACTCAGTTTTCTTCGCTTTCATAATATGTAGTTTCTCCTCGAGGCATAAATTACACCGTTTAGATCCTGGTTTGTATATGCTTTGACTTTTTTCGTAATGGACCACTTTATTGTATACTGACTTTTTTCTGACTTCATGACAGTTCGGTGTTGCTCTTGTATTCCTCATGTCGGAAAGACATAGTGTGATTGCGGTATCTTGTTTTGAAATCGCCCGCCGTCATGCCAATGTATATTTTCTTTTTCTGGTTGTTGGCAGTGCTGATTGTCACTTCGGCTTTGTATACGATGCTCTCAGTAAGATAATTTTTACCAAGTGGACAGTTGGCGGGTTTTTGGCAATTGCACATTGACGTGTCGTTTTTTGTAGGTGTTGGTATTACCGTTGGTATGGATGATTGTATTACCCTAGCAGTTGGCGTTTGTTTTGTGTTTTGGTTGAGTATTTTACGATTATGTTTACGGATGAGATTTTTCATGTTTGTCATGCAACTGTAACTAACACGGACTGCGTGGCGGTTGAAAAGTTTGTGCAGTTTGTTTGAGGGAGGAAAATGCTTCGCGTCAATTAGGTTTAGGAATGTCTGTGCTACATTGGTCTTAACGTTTTTTGCTATAAGGGGGGTTGTACCATGTAACGTTTCGTTGTCTGTTTCGTTTATAGGAGTTATTAGTGTTGTTTTGAGTTTGTGTGTACATTAGGTTAACGTCAAAGTTGCTTTGCTTGAGAGCGTTGTTGTAAAGTGGTGCTGCTGCGTTGAATGCTTCTTCATCACATGATAGTTTGTTAATGCGTTTGTTGACTGAGTGTGGAAGTTGTCGTGTGATGGAAGGTGGATGGTTAGATAATCTGTTTATGTACAGTGGTTCGTCATTAGGTTTTCGGTATGGTTTATATTTACCGTTTGATAGGTCAAGCGTCAGGTCAAGGAAGTTCACGCACTTGATGTTTGTCTGGGCAGTGGTGATTCTGAGCCCAAAGCTCTCAAAAATGGTGGTCAACTCTTTCCTCGCTTTGTCCGCAAGTCTGCCTGATGTTGTTCTGAGGGCAGCCAAGCCGTCGTCACGGTATAGGCCTACGTCTTTCCCAAAGCGTTTACAAGCGTTAACAAGGACGGACTGTCTTTTCTATTTTTCGATATAGTCGAATTCTACCCGTCCATAACTGAAAGTCTACTCGACCGTGCAATCGCATGGAGCCAATTTCCGACAGCGATATCCGCATTGTGAACCACGCGCGCAAATCCCTTCTTTTTTACAACCAACAAGCTTGGACGAGGAAGAACAACACAACCACGTTTGACGTGACCATTGGAAGTTTCGATGGCGCTGAGGTCTGTGAACTCGTCGGACTTTTCATTCTGAACACACTCGAGAAACGCTTTGGGAAAGACGTAGGCCTATACCGTGACGACGGCTTGGCTGCCCTCAGAACAACATCAGGCAGACTTGCGGACAAAGCGAGGAAAGAGTTGATCACCATTTTTGAGAGCATTGGCCTCAGAATCATCGCCCAGAAAAACATCGAGTGCGTGAACTTTCTTGACCTGACGCTTGACCTATCAAACGGTAAATATAAACCATACCGAAAACCTAATGACGAACCACTGTACATAAACGGATTATCAAAACATCCACCTTCCATCACACGACAACTTCCACACTCAGTCAACAAACGCATTAACAAACTATCATCTGACGAAGAAGCATTCAACGCAGCAGCACCACTTTACAACAACGCTCTCAAGCAAAGCAACTTTGACGTTAACTTAATTACACACAAATCCAAAGCGACACTAACAAGACGCTCTGTTGAGCGTTTAGTAGCTGGGACTATTAAAATAAGGTCTTCTGCGCAGGGCTTCTGCGCTTATTTCTCTCTCTTCTGAGACCAGTGTATAAGCCCTGGGTACGAGGTTGATATATCATTTATTGGATTTATCTGGCTTAAGCCAACTTCGAGGACACTGGAAACCAGGCTTAAACAAATTTATTCAAATTTATTGCAACTCCACATTTTGACCTTTCAACTGATTTTCTCAAAAACTTTAATGCCCCCATGTCAATTATTTATACTCATGGCCCCCACCTTTCCCCCCCCCCCTCCCTCTTCCATAAATAGGGACTAGTCTCTAACTGTAGGAAAAATATGTGCACTTCACAAAACATTTACAACAATTTATAATTTATTACTTTCGCCTGAGGCTAGGTAACCACAACAGAAGTTCCCAAATAGACCCTTTGAAGGTAGCTTGCGTATCAGGCTCTATGCTTGAAATAGAGCCTGTTACTGAAGTCAATAAAAAGTGGACAGTGATTGGGATGCACAAAAATAACAACCAATCAAAATGGCGATTGTTAATTACGTATCAGTCAATTCCAGCAGTACCCATCACCCCGAGGTATTAGCCATTTCTGGGAAGAAAATGGCTTTGTCCAAAAGCCATTTGCAATCAAATTCAATATATTTTCCAGCGAATCTGCCAAATCCCCCATGATGGAAAACGTCGAAATCCTCACCCCAGGGCTAAAAATTACCGGCAATAGCCCCACACCCGGGATTAGGAAAAACGGTAAAGGCCCAGGGGTGGGAACTGCTGGAATTAACTGATACATTAGATTATCAAGTCTTATCTACTGCTCTGTAACTTGGGGAAACTGCTCAAAAACACTTTTACTTCGCATTCTTCGACTGCAAAAGCGTGCAGCACGTATTATTCTAGACGCTGACTTTTCTACTCCTTCTGTTCTTCTTTTTTCCCAGATTCGAATAATCCCAATAAAATGATCTTGTTAAATTTAGGAAGCTTCTCTTACTAATTAACATTCTCACAAATCCCAGTGCTCCATCTTCATTTAAGCAAATGTTTAAATTCTTATCTTCTATTCGACAACGGGCTCTGACTAGAGCTTGCGCATATGACCTTCAACCCCCATTCCCGCGTACTGACTCTGGTAAACGAACATTTCTGTACAGTGCTTCCATTCTTTTTAATTGCTTAGATAGCGATTGTAAGCAACTTGCAGCTTCGCCATCTTGCTCTTCATATACTAACGCCAAACAAAAAATTCGTAAAATCTTTCTTAACAAGCTTACCCTTACTAACCATATCGAAGATCTATTTTGTATAAATTGTAAATATTTACTAAATTGTAATTGTATTCATTACTAATTATTCTTTTTCTCAAATGTAAATAGTCGTAATCCTTGATACTTTTTATGCCTGTAAATATCAAATAGTGCGAGGGCCGTATGTTAGATAACTTTTACGGTTAATACGTTTTCCCTCGTGAAATAAAGTTTCTATTCTATTCTATTCTATTATCAAAGCTAATTTAAAATATGACAATAACGGCCAACTTTTCCGCCAATATCTCAAAATCAAATATTCCAACTCTCATCGAATGGCCAGGAATTACATACTAAATAAGAATAATATACACTTAATGTCTGCACCCGAGGGAAATAGTTAGTTTTGTTTTCCCGAGAATCTCAATGTTTCCCGAGACGAAGTTGAGGGAAACATTGAGATTCGAGGGAAAACAAAACTAACGATTTCCCGAGGGAAAAGACGTTAAGTGTTTTGTTATATAACGACGAAATAAATATCAACATTGAACAACATTCATACAACAATATTTGTATTTCATGACAAAATCTCTATAGCGTAAACGAGTTTAAAATTGAAAAAACTTACTTAAGAGAGGATGTCCACAAAAATCAAACATAAGGCGGCCACGACGGAAAAATCGATTTTGCTCAAATTTTGCCCAGATATACCTTATTATATCGGAAAATGCACCATATATATTTTTAGGTCAAATGCTTTTTTAACTTTGAGAAAATGCCGTTTTAACACGACCACCCTAAATCGCCATTTTGTCTGGGAAAATATGCGCTGATTTTACCGACAAATTTCACGACGACAACCGTTTCTAATCGATCTAAAACCCTAAAAATCTTGTTTTCGGTTATTCAAAGGACCGGGTACGTGACTTACAAGAAATCTGAGTTACTTTTAGGATTAGAAATAATCGTAGTTTTGGAGCACACTATCTTACTTCATTTACGATACCCTCTTAACAAAACCGATTTTCACTATGGGATAAAGCTCCAAATCGATCATGCTTCTACTAGTTGGCTCTTTAATAAACAAGCTTTCAATTGACGTAAATACTTCTTTGGGTAAATGAATACGCGATAAACGACAGCGCGCTGAAATCGTCCGTTTTTGACGTCTTGCAAGCAAACGCTGTTAATTTACATACCGTCGAAGCAAACAATTTAATCAAGTATTTTAAGTATTTTACCTTTTGATAAGAAGATATATTCTTGAATGGAGACTTTTTGGCTTGCTAAGTTTAAAATTGGTCCAGAAATCCCGATATATTTGTGAAATATCATCATATACAGGTATTTTGAGATATAGCTAATATCGTTGTCAGTTGCATGATAACTTCAGATCACTGTTCAATATTGTCTACTTTTAATAGCGCTAACATACAAAGCGATGAGCTGTTTAGGGATTATATTTGTTACTAAATTTACCAAAATAATTAGAACTACAACTGCTGTTTTCAGAGGTTTTGTTCCATTTTGTCCATATTATTAAATTAATGTACCAGTTATGTATCGACTATAATGTTTACGAAGACGTAAGTTAATTATTAAGCAGGTGTTAGCGTGCGTGTACATGAAATGAACGTTTATAATGTTTATCAATATAAGGAGTTTTTATTTTTAGTTTACCAGCCCTTATATTTGAATAGCCGAATTCATATTAGGGACACGAAACTCGTCTTAGACGGAAACTCGTCTGTGAAAACCCGCCTGAATATGAATTTAGGGACGGATAAATTCGAATTTAAGACGAGTTTCCCGTCTAATATGAGTTTCCCGTCTCTAATATGAATTCGGCTAATGTGTGTTAAAACTGCAAGGTCATTAAATCTCATTAAAATCCCACAGACCACAACGATTATACGTATTGATTGTTTCTTGACGATAGTAGACGCGTATACGCATGCATGTTGCGTAAGAGGTTATTTCGCTGGCTTCAGAATGACAAAACGTAGTAACAAAGCTTTACACTAACCCTATTCCAAACACCAACTTTATAACTTAAATCCCTACCATAACCCTTGCTCGTTATTAAATAACATACCGTAGTAAATAATTTAATCACCATTTCTAAGTCTTTTACTTTTTCGGGACAAAAAACTACTTGAAAAAGACCAGGGCTTTAAAAATTATTTGAAGTAGATAGTTATGATAAGACAGGGGTAGCGTCAGGGCCGCCCTTGGAGGGGGGGGGGGCAAAGGGAGCAATTTTCTCCGCGACCGCAGCTCAAGGAGGGCCGGCAAATACAAATTTGCAAGGGGGTAAAAAGTTTGTCGACGGAGGGGTGGGAGGGGAATTATTGTGGTTCACCGGGCCCCCAAAGATATAATTGGCCCTGGGCCCCCATATTTCACTGAGCTGGCCTGGGCTGCGCCAGTAATTCTCCGACGGGGGAAGTCATCGGTGCTCTCTTTCGTTCTTTGGCAATTGGCATTAAAACCACAAGAACTACCGACAAGTGACCAGGGCCGGATTAACGTCGCGCGAGGCTCGTGGCAGATTTTAGCGCGAGGCCCCCAACCCCCTCCCCCCCCACTCTCCGCCTTGTTATGAAAACCTTTGAATTTAAAGACACACAAAATTGTTAAATAATTTTTTCAATATTTCAATTTATTAGCATCAATTATAAACGAGACAATGGCCTGCCTGGCCCAGTTGTTGGGTCAACATGTATAAACAGGATCATAATATAACAGCTCAACGCAACTGGAGATTATATGCACACGAGTATTCCATACTTTCCCGGGGCCGTGCTGGGGCCAACTGCCAAGCCTAGGGGCCCTAAATTCGCGAGGCACCTAAAATGGGTGTGTCCCAACAGAAAATGGCCGTGTTCTCGTAAAAATGGGCGTGGCACAGTAAAGCGCAATGCCCCCATAAGCGCGAGGCCCGTGGCATTTGCCGCATCTGACACATGGCTAATCCGGCGTTAAACTAGCAACAAGCTTCCATTTTTTTTAAACGCGACGTGTGGGGAGACAATAATAATTTCTGGTGTCGCACTGGGGTAACATATCTCAATGCTGTATTTTTGGGTTACTAGTACTTAATAATAATAATAGTTTTATTCATCCATCTTAAGATAAAAAAGTACAATGGACTTACAATTACTTGTTTAAGAAAGTATATATGCTGTGGATATGTCTTTATATTACAACGTTATTATTACTTGTGGAATATAATAAGATCAATAAACAATAGTGTATCAAAAGAAAGTAATTTTACTGATTATTTTAACTGAGCATCAAAGTGAACACACATTGAAATAATTATTCTAAACTATTTGCTATAATTTGAGTTTGAGGTGGTAGAAAATGTAATAAAATAACAAACCTTGTATGGATTAATGTTCATTTCACACGCACGCTATTAACAGCTGCTTAATAATTAACTTATGTATTCGTAAACATTTATACTCGATAGCATAGTCGATATGTAAAATGGTAC